CACCAAGTTGCCCAGGCTGGTCTCAAACCCCTGAGCTCAGGCAGTCCTCTCACCTCGGCCTCCCAAAGTGCTGGGATTACAGGCTTGAGCTATCATGCCTAGTCCTCTACAATACATTTTTTTTTTGAGTTGGAGTCTCACTCTGTCACCCAGACTGGAGTGCAGTGGCCGCTCCCGGCCACCGCAGCCTCGACCTGCTGGGCTCCGGCAATCTTCCGCCTCAGCCTTCCGAGTAGCCGGAATTACAGGTGCGCGCTACCACGCCCAGCTAATTTTTTTATATATTGTAGAGATGAGGTCTCACCTGCCCAGGCGGGTCTCAAACCCACGGGCTCAGGCAATCCACTCACCTCAGCCTCTCAAAGGCACGGGATTACAGGCTGAGCCACCAAGCCCGGCTAAGAGATTCTTAATTTAGGTACAACTACTCCCATGGCCTAGAGAACACAACAGTTTATATTCCGTATGTAGAGGACTAACCACTTACCCCTCCCTTCTTTCTCCATTCCTGTCCTCTCTGGAAAGATCAACGAAGTCATAATGTCTTTTTTTGTTTTAATAGCTATCAGGTTGGAACTTTCTCAAAGTCTTTCTTTTTTTTAACCTAAAAAAAGTTTTATTAGTCTGCCCCGATTCACAGGTATTCATTAGCCTTCAAAGAACTCTAAAGAACCGGCCAAGCCTGATCTTTCCTTTCATAAAAATCCTGTCACTTCCTCTGGTGTACCAGGAACCCACAACCCTTCCCAGAGATCACGCTAGCTTGTGTGTTATGGAAGTAAAATCACTTGTCTCCATTTTACAGGAACCGTCCACTGAATAGGGGTCCTCTTTGATATAAACTATTTAATGTCAACTTACACATGTGACCAGAGTTTTTCGACTTCACTCTTAAAGTTGAAAAGATTTAGCTAAGATTCAAACCCTGTCCAAAGCCTGTGTTATTCCTACTTTAACATACTCCCTAACCTATTCTACAATAAAACTCTAGGCAAATCATTAACTTGTATACCCATTTATTCATTCAAATACATATTTATTTACTTTATCCTTTTATTTAGCAAAACAATTGAGCACCGAAGATGTGTCAGGCACTGTGCCACTTTGGACCTAGAAAGACAAATAAAACAGGATCCCAAGTGCCTCCTCCTGCTGTTCAGGATCTTACAATGAAGTACAAGAAGGCTTTTAGACGTTGATACCAGGAGAAAATGCAAAAGGGCAGCAGAGCAGAGTCCTCTCTGAGTACTCTGTGAGGGAGAAAGTGGTCCCAGCACAGAGGACAACCTCAAGGGTCATCTCTACATCACCTCAAAGTCTGGAGCAGAAGCCTCAGAGTCAGTCAAAGTCAGAGGGGTTGAGGCCTAATGGTGGGTTAACTGTTCAGGAATGCTGATGGCATGCAAGGAGAGCCCCTCCCATATGGATGTGCTGCTTGGTACCTGCCTCTGGCCACACCCCAAGCACAACTAGGAAGTGTTGTTTTTTTTCCTTTTCCTATGAGATTCCCCCCACCCCACGAATTCATCTATGGAAAATAAAAAGAAGCACACATGGGTATCTTTGTATAAAGCCTCCAGGCCCCTCCAGCAGTGAACAGAGGAAAGGCTGAAAGGAAGCTGCTTTTCCTCAACTTAAGAGCCCCTGGCTTTGTGAGGCTAGTCACCATTAAAAACTCCTTTTCCCAGGATCACTGGTGCATAAAGCAAAACCATAACCCAATACCCTGCCCTTCGTAAATATTCCCTGATTGTCAATAATAATGTCTTATGCTTGAAACAATCTGTTTGCCAACAACGTCTGCATCTTTTATCTTACTTAGTGATCACAGCAACCCCATCAAACAAGTTGTGTTCTATTCATTTTATAAATGAGGAAGTAAACACTAAGGGGGAGGGAGGACTGCCCAAGATTACACAGTAATGACAGCACAAGGCTGGGACTTAAACTCTGGCGTTATGATGCCAAGTCCAGCTCATTACTAGTCCACAGCCACCAGAGTATGCTACGAACCACGGGAAGCCTACGTTTGGCTCTCTTTTCACATTTGTGGCTGTTTGAGGGTTGCAGCAAATGTTTTAGGTCCTCTAGACACCACCCTAAGTCTAAAATACAAGTAGCCACGGAGAGGCTATGAAACACTGACTCTCATTGACTTGACGTGAACTTTTGACTTCCCAGAAATCGGGTCTCAAGGGGTGGGTGGGAGAACTGCAGGTTTGTGACACCTCTTGACAGGTTTTCTAGAAAAGCATGTGAGTGCAGTATCTGGTTTGAGGGAAATGTGCAAATATGAGTTGACTGTTGAGGGGCTAAGGAGACAAGATGCTAGAGAAGTGGGTGAAGAAAGCCCTGGTATTTGTGACCTTTACCTCCTGAGCAGGGAAAATATATCAGTTCTCCTTGTTCCAGGTGTTTCAATTTCCACCGAAATAGAAAGTGTCAGCTATGTGGCAGGACTTTATAAACAGTAGAATGTTTAGTAAATAATCCGGAGCCAAACAGACCAGGGTTTGAATCTCAGCTTCTGCACTTTTTAGCAATGTGGCCCAGGGCAAATTCATCTCTGCTTTGTTTCATTTTGCTAAGGTCACTCTTTAAACTTCTTGAAAAAGAATCACCATAAGTCGCCTGCTACCCAACACATGATTGTACAGTTGGTACTAGTTGATATCAGTACTGAATTTGACCTTTCCAGATTTTTGCCCTTTACTCTCTATATTTCTGCTATCTGTTCTTCCATCTTTCACAGTCATCTATTTTCTTGTGTAACTGGTCAGGGATGATGTCTGAACATACCAGTGATGAACTTTACAATGTGACTCAACCGGCTACATAAGTAAGGTTCTCCCTTGGGGGAGTTTGCACAGTCTAACGTGCAACAATCCCTGAAAAGAGCGAATGGCTTTTCTAAGCACAAAGACATGAATGGCATTTCTAAGCAGAAACTATACACAGAGATCTTGTGACAGTGGCCCACATTCTTCCATTCCTTCAGCAAACATTGATAACACGTCCATTGTGTGCCAAATTCTAAGCAAAAACTTCCTAGTTGTGCTTGAAGTGTGGCCAGAGGCAGGTACCAAGCAGCACATCTGTATGCGAGGGAAGGGTTCTTCTTGCATGCCATAATTTTTGCTCATAAATTTTAACTTAACTTTCCACAGCTACCCGGGGAAACAAATAAGGGATAATATTTCGAGATGTCTAAGATGACTTGGAAGGTTGTTAATGCTTACAGCATAACAGTGAAATTAAAATTTAGCAAGGTCTGAGTAAAACAGAAGACTTACCTCCCACGAATCCCCTATAAAACCGGGACTTTGGCCAAACTGGCTGGTTTGCTATCTCATGGGCACCTTGCTCTCCTGTCTCTACTCCCCAACTTTCCTTTTCCATTTACCTGGAATGTCACCCACACCCACCTCACTCCCATACATACCCACCTCTACTCTACTTATCAAATCATACATACCCTGCAAGACTTACATCTTCCCTCCTCGGGAGTCCCACAATATTTGGAATCTTACTATATATATATTTTAACTATTTGGGAACATAGCTTCCCTACCAAAGCAAAATATCCTAGAATATAACAATCTCCTTACATATCTTTGCATGCCTCAAATTGCAAATTGTATCATTTAATACATTTTTATTTAGAGCATGAATGCATGAATTTGTTAGTTAATTTAGTTAATAAAATGTTGAAGCCGGGGCTTGGTGGCTCGGCCTGTAAACCTGCGCCTTTGGGAGGCTGAGGTGAGTGGATTGCCTGAGCCCGCGGGTTCAAGACCCGCCTGGGCAGCGAGTCCTCATCTCTACAATAAATCAAAAAATCAGCCGGGCGTGGTAGCGCATGCCTGTAATTCCGGCTACTCGGAAGACCGAGGCAGAAGGATCGCCAGAGCCCAGCAGGCGAGGCTGCGGTGGCCGGGAGCGGCCAACGCACTCCAGTCTGGGCGACCGAGTGAAACTCCAACTCAAAAATAAAATAAAATAAAATGTTGAGCCATATAGATAGCTTTTCTCAGGGTGTTTCAAGTGCGAAAACCGAAGTGATTGACCCAAACACTTGACCTTGTGTTCCTTCCAGAAAATCCGCAGGGAGGTAAGAGACCCATGTTCATCCGTGTATGGCCCTAAAGCCCGTAAATAGTTTCTGGAAGTCGATGTAAGCTGCAGGGAAGCCCTTGGGCTCTGGAGTCACACAGCCTAGCTGTGCCACTTACTAGTTGTGTGACCCTAGGGAACTTAATTTACTAATCCAAGCTTTAGTTTCCCAGCCTGCAAAATGGAACCTCCTTGTTTCTTTCTTTTTCTACCTAACTGGGTTATGAGAATCAGATGTGAGCATGCGAGGTACTTGATGGAGTGGCACAAAGAAGGAAATAAATGCTAGTCCCTCTTTTCTCTCCACTTGCCCTCTTATACTACAGGGACCTTTTTTATTTGCCAATTTTTTTCTGAAGGTTACAAAATAGTCAGAAAGTAATGGTTTTTAACAGTAGCCTACAGTCCATATGGAAACCAACCACTAACTCTGGCCATGAGTTGACTCTATGGGCTTTGGTTTGGCCTGGACGAGGGCAGTGAGACTGCACCAGGGACCCTCAGTGTGTTGCAGCCCTGCCCACCAGTACCACCTCAGGTCTGCTCCTTGTGCCCTCAACCTTGCAGGGCTCAGTCTACCACTCAGAAATATACATTCGGTACACCCCATACCTGAAAGAACTCAAGGCACCAATCAGACTCTGGAAAGCTTTTTTTTTTTTTTTTCCCTTCTTTATAAAATTCTGTGATTAGTAAGCTCAGTAATTTCCTCTATTGCCAGAAGTTTGTATGACTTTTGGGTTGGAAACTTTGGGAACAAAAGGGCAATACACAAAGGCATGATTTAACCACGTTATGGAAATTGTAGCAATTGTAGTATTTGTCATCTGCTCCTCTTAAACTGTGATATTCTCAAATGTGACTTCAGCTTGTAGGAAATCCTGAAGATGGCCAAAGACAACTCCACTGTTCGCTGCTTCCAGGGTCTGCTGATTTTCGGAAATGTGATTGTTGCGGTAAGTAATGCGTATTTTTCAAGTTCTGCTCTTCCTGTAGTCGCGATTCTAGATGAACTAAAACTGAAAGTAAAAGGAAAATGATACTTTAATTACTAGTTCCCTTTATCTTTTCTTCATTTTAAGAAGTGTGTTAGGGCCGGGCATTTTGGGAGGTCAAGGTGAGGGGAATATCTGAACCCACAGCTTCGAGAACAACCTGGGCAACTTGTGAGACCTCATCTCTACAATAAACCAAAAATTAGCCGGGCATAGTGGTGTGCACCTGTAGTTCCTGCTACTCGGAAGGCTGAGGCGGAAGGATCACGAGAGCCCAGCAGGTCAACACTGGGGTGGCCGTGAGCGTGCCACTGCACTCCAGCCTGGACGACGAAATGAGACTCCAACTCAAAAAATAATAATAATAATAATAATAATAAGTGTATTAGTAAATATGCTAGCTAGAATTTAACTAAATATGTGTATATAACTATGTAATATGCCAAAAGATCATGGTTGAAAAAAATGGATATTTTCCAACAAGAATCTAAAAGGAGTCATGCCAACCATAGGACAGTGTCCAAGCACTCTGACCACTCACACACAGTGGTGTTTCTTTCCTATGTTACCGTGGTTTGATCTCCATGGGACTCTGTTGTTAGGCTTGTTAGGAGCAGATATCTGCATCTTGTTCTTCTCACACAGAGGCCAGTACCAGGATGTGAGAATGGCTCAGAGGCCACATTGTGTGGGGATGGTGGGATGCGAGAGCACTTATCTGGGAGTCAAGAGGGCTGGCTCTGGTCCAGCTCTGTCTCTGACTCCCCATGTGACCCTGGACAAGTCATCACCTTTTAAGGCCAAGATTCCTCATTTATAAAATACAAACATTGGGAAAAATAACCACCAAGGTTCCTTCCATCACTCCCTGATGAATATGACCAGGACAAGCTCAAAATACAACCCAGGAATGTGGAAATGAGGCAGTGGGGGTGTGTTGCAGAAGGATTGTCTTCATGCAAGAAGGCATTATCTACGTGGTTCATGCCCCAGTAAAGATATAGATGGTCTGAAATTGGGTCTTTCTTAAATAGAGTAACATGTGGAAGAAAGTATGCAACCAATTAGCAAGATGGAAGTAGCTGCTTGATTTCCTGGCAATGGGGAGTCTTGGTCAGTTGCATAAAGCCTGTGTAGGGAGAGAGTCAGTCTCTCACACCTCCCCCACCCTCCACCCCTTCCCCAAAGCTGCACTCCTGACGGAGCCCCCTTCACCTGCCCCCAGATGTGCGGCATCGCTCTGACCGCAGAGTGCATCTTCTTTGTATCCGACCAACACAGCCTCTATCCACTGCTCGAAGCCACCGACAACGATGACATCTATGGGGCTGCTTGGATTGGCATGTTTGTCGGCATCTGCCTCTTCTGCCTGTCCGTTCTAGGCATTGTAGGCATCATGAAATCAAGCAGGAAACTTCTTCTGGCGGTAAGACCTTAAAACTCCCTATAGCTGTCTCCCTGGACCAGTTTTGGTGGATTGGTTCTTCTCCTCTGATCACAATGCTTGGGCTATCAGTCGGGGCGGGGGGGTGGGAGCAGGGAAAGCCAGGTGAGAGGTGAGGAGAGGAAGACTCTCCCTGCAATGAAGAGTGTCCATGTGGGGGAAAGGGTACCCTCCACCACTGCAAGTCAAAAGATACCAGTACAGAGAGGCCAAAGGGAAGACATCTGGGGTGACCGGTTGAGTATTCTCCACATCTGTGTTTCTCCAGCATGTGTCACATGAGTACAACCAGGAGCTACATAGGTCACAGGATCTGAGGCACAGTGAGAATTTGTTTATTAGATTTTTTTTCTCTGATCTTTCTGTCTCAGCCTTCCAAGTAGCCAGAACTACTGATGCACACCACCACGCCTGGCTAATTTTTTATTTATTGTAGAGACAAGGTCTCGCCAAGTTGCCCGGGCTGGTTTCAAACCCGTGGGCTCAGGCAATCCACTCGCCTCCTTCCAAAGTGCTGGGATTACAGGCTGAGCCACCGAGCCTGACCTAAAATATTTTAAGGCCGGGCACAGTGGCTCACACCTATAATCCCGGCACTTTGGGAGGTTGAGACAGGAGGATTGCTTGAGCCCAGGAGTTCGGGACCAACCTGGGCAACATAGCAAGACCTCTT